AATACACTCGGCTTACCAGAGTCACGGGCCACACAGCACTGACACAGACAAAAACTTTCCACTGGAGCCAGAAGCACAGCCACCATCTTGGAAGTTTTGAGCATCCTTTCCCCAGAATGAGACAGGTAAAGAGGGACAAGCAAAATCTGAGGATGGCCCCTGGCTTTCCCAGCCCAGTGTACAAGCACACCGAAGTACAAGTGGGTATGAGCCTGACTGTGACTAGAATGAGAGTTTGCCTGTGACTAAGTTCTGTGAAAAAGCACGGGGGCCAGTCCAGATGCCAGGTTCCCAAATCTGGTGATTGTGAGTTGATAAGAAGATAATCAAACCCAGTGGGTATCTAGCTAATTAGGTAAGCCCTTGAAGTGGGCTGGAATCTCCTAAAAGTAAGCGACTGCAGTCTGAAAAGATCTCTGGAGGAGGCTACATTTTAAAAACCAAAGGACAGCTGGTAGCAGCCTACAGCCAGTTGCTGGCCACACAGTGGAAACAAGGAAAGGGAGTCTGCCAACGACCTGAAGGCGCCCACACACTGATCTTTCTCGGTTTAGGCCTCCAGACAGAGAAACGGCTGGCCAACACACTTGGTCTCAGCCTCGTGAGGTCCTGAGCAGAGGAGCATCTGCGTCAGCCAGGCTAGACTACTGGCCCCTTGAATCTGGGCCACAATACTTTAGCGTAGACAAAGCTTGAGATAATGCTTGATTACTGGAAATTTGTTGTGCAACCTAAGAAACTACTATGGTGATTATAATAAGACATCACAAATCTAGATAACCCTGAATATACGAATATATACTTAGTGCAATGCAAAAACAGACTTTGGAAGCTTCCAGAACGTGAAAAGCTTTGATCATATATCAACCCTTAATGACTTTTAAAAGATATTCCAAAAAGCTGAAATCTTAAACAACACATTCCCCCAAATATTCGGAAATAAAGCCAGATAGTAGCAATAAAACTTTCCTGAATGACTATTCATGAAATCACATTATGGACAGCCATTTGGTCTAATCTGTTTACATCTATGGTATGCAAAGCTACGCAAGAGTGAAACATTCAACAATGTAACTGGTTAATGACATAAAAACATAAGAACTTATTTAACATAAGCTCACTCAGGACTCCAAAGCCATTTGATGAAATTCAACGACCATCCATGTTTAAAAATTACACCGTAGGGAGGCTGGAACCATGGCTTGAAGACTAAGAGTACGTTCTGGAAGAATATCAAAATAAGAGGTTGCTAAAATGTAAATGAGTTGTCTTCACTTGTCTTATAACTGATTTCTCAACTTCTCTGTGTGCCTTGTTTTTAGAATAATTTCAGAGATTAAATGCTGCTCTAAACTACGGTACTTTGATTTTATTAGATTGACAAGTAAGTTAATGTAGTTAAATTCATTTTTAAAATTCACATTACTGCCTAGAGCCAAAAATAATGATTTCATTTAATTAACAACCACGTGTTGAGCTTAATTTAACATTTGAAACGATCATCTTATTTTACAATCATTTACAGTGAAACAATGTTCAAGTTAGCTTTAAAAGGTATTTAGTATTTTACTGAGGCCAATATTTTACTGCTAGCTTGCAAAGTTGTGTTTTTAAATGATAAAGTACATAAAACATGTTTTTTAAAGAAGAGTTCATTCTTTTTTTTGCAGAGGACCTGAGTTTAGTTCCTAGAACCCATATCAGAGAGCTCACAACTGCCTGTGAATACTTAACACTTTCTTCTGGCCTTGCAGAGCCAGAAAACATGTGTCCCCACTCTCTCTCTCTGTGTCTCTCACGCACACACACACACAAATGAATATATATATATACATTAGATATATACATATATGTATTATATATGTATATATGTATTATATATACATATATAATATACATGTATATACATATATAATATACATGTATATATACATATATGTACATATATATGTATATATAATTTTAAATGCCTTAGATTTCAGACACACTGGTGTACATCCTATCCTCAATCATAACACTCAGGTAGGCAGAGGTAGGCAGATCTCTGTGAATTCCCAACAAGCCTGTGTATCGAGATCCAGGCTAGCCAGAGCTAAGTAGTGAGATTTATCTGGATAAATAAACAAGTAAGTGTGTGTCTTAGAGATTAACAACAAAAACTCTTACACGTTAATATAAATATGAAATGGTGAGTGGTAGATGTACCAGAGCCATCGCGTTTAAGTGAAGAACCATGTAAGGATGCTTGTTTCCATTATTTTGAGTTATCACTTTTATAATGATTTCAAATAAAACAATAGATAAGGAAATAAGGAAAGTGTTCGTATTGTTAGAGAAAAGGTATAATGGGTATTATTCAGGCCTGAAGTATAGTTACCCATGATATTTTTGGTCACCTGTTTTTACTAATAGTTTGGTTCACTTTGTGGGAAAATAAGGCAACAATACAATAAAATCTTATAATACATGCCTATCTACCTTTATAGGACTTTCTAGAGGTTGTGTTATTTGTTAATATGCACATATGCAAAGTGTTTCTTTGTTTTTAAATGTGTCTGTATGTACCTGTACCCAAAGCAAACACATGGAGAGAAGAAGCCTTAGGTGTTGATCCTTGCCTTCTGTCATATATATATATATATATATATATATATATATAAAATATTGTATATGTATATTATATATATTTGTAAATCCCAGAATTAAAACTGTGATTTTAGTTACACATTATATAAAATGTATATAATGTATTACAAATATATTATATATAGGTTTGGTTTTGTTTTTCAAGACAGGGTGTCTCTGTGCAGCCTTGGCTGTCCTGGACTCACTTTGTAGACCAGGCTGGCCTCGAACTCACAGAGGTTTACCTGCCTTTGCACCCCTGAGTGCCGGGGTTACATGTGTGCACACCATGCCTGGCCACGTTTTATATTTGTAAGGTGTTTCTAGCATGGTTTGTTTCCCGTTATTATCTTAACAATTTATTAGCTAAATGAATTTTAGAGGTAAGGTTCAATCTTTTCCCACATATGCTAGTGAAACAGCATTAGTTTTATGATAAAGCTACAGCATGACATTTTCCTCATCACAAACTCAGTCTCTCCATTTATTCCTCTTCTCTATGTCTTCAAGTACAAGGGCATTATTTCCTCCCCCATGGCTTAACAAACTTCTTCAGACTTCTCTTTTCTAGCTATTTATCTACACTTATTTTTGGGACTGAGACAAGATTCTTATCCCTTATTCTCTTTTTCATTACAATCCAAACTGGATTTGTATGTGTGTGCTGTAATGTCAACGTTTTTCACAGGAGTACCCTCCTATGCCACCTTAGGGAGGAAGAGGCCTCTAGAGGAGAGGTGAGGTCAGCTCTGTGGTAGCTTCAGAAATGACCCCTAGGGTGGCCAACCAAGATCGCTGGCTTGACATCACAGCCCTGGACACCAGGCCTCTAAAGTTAGAAACCATGCCAACGTATGAAAAAAGCTCTGCAGCCGGAGCAGGGCGGTCTATACCTCACAGGGCGTTTGACGCACAAGAGATCAGCTGGGCGCCCTGCCTGCACAGGCTCCCTTCAGCGAGCCAGCTAAGGGCTTCAAAGTTGAAGGTTGGCTGAGTTACTCTCACCTTATTGTAGGGAGGACAGAGCCCCTGGACAGTGCCGTAGAAAAGGAGACAGGCTGCTGCGTGCACCCAAATATGTCTTCCTTGGAAAGAAGAAGGATGTCTGAAATTGTGCCCTTGCCATCCTGGCCGGCCACTAGCCTCACAGTCAGCATAGGTGGGAGGGCAGGGGAGGGGGTGGGAGTGGGAGAAGTCAGGTAGTAACTGTTAACAGCCTCGTGTTTTTCCTATTCCAGGGGCATTGTGGGCACTTAAGGAGGGTCCCACAGTTGCCTGGTAAGGGCCTGCTATTCACATTAACGTGGAGATGTCCCAAATGGTGCTGGGAGAGGTCCAGGGCTCCGTTTTAAAGGGAGAACTAGAAAGAGCCAACTCTTTGCTGAAAGGAGCTTGCTTAAATTATGGCGCGTTTGTACAAGGAATATTGCACAGTCACTAGGAAGATGAATTTTACCTTGGCATAGAAAGGAACAAAGTTGATTCTAAGAGAGCAAAACCAGTTTGACCTAGTAAACATCTCACTTGGGGGGGGGGTATGTACACATTTGCCAATTAGAATTCTATAGGAGTGTGTTCCAACTTTGGTTATCTCTGAGGTCAAGGGTTATGAGATTTTGACATTTTACTTTAAATGTTTATGACTTTTTTGAATTAATGATTTTATAGTCAGAAAAAAAAGAGATTACCCCCCTTTTAAGAATGAGGGGAAAGTGGAACAGCAGGATGAAATGGTAATTTGAAGTCAAACAGCTTTGAAAGAATGTTTCAGCATAAGAGAAACTTGGGCTTGTTTTAGGCCCTGGGATAGAAGCCAGTTAGGAAAGAAACCGGGTGAGGGGAATGTTAACTGGCTGGAGTCCCTTGGAAGCTGTATTGGGGTGCTGGAACAGGGGCTCATTGCAAAAAGAAGACAGAGGAGAGGACACAAAACCAAAACTTTTTGAGAAGGTAGAACATGAAAAGAATTATGGAGAATGAACCGTATTTGTTTTTCTATGGGATTCTAAGGGGGGGAATCAGCTGTACTGGGAAGTCTGGCAACAGGAAGTAGAAGGGCCTAGGAGAGGCATGTGCCTGGTGTGGAGGAGGAAGCAAGATGGGATCTGTGTATTCAGGAGTCCCTGGGGGTCCAGGTCCACAGAGATGGGTGATTATAACTCATGCCAAATCTGGAGCCAGGTTAACGAAGATATGGCACCCAATGCTAACACTCTATCATAATTACCTGCCACAGGGGAAATCAATACAATTATGTGAGTTTTCCTAGTGCCGTCCAGCTGTCTGAGGAGAGAACACTTGAGACAAATCCATGGCCACACATGCCCAAAGTTGAGCTTGGGCAACCAGGGTGTAGACGAGAGTCCAGTCAACAGGTCAGTGGAGCCCGAGATGCAGGTAAGTGTCACAGGAAGCCAGGTGAGACCTAGGTGGAGAGGGAGGCTGGTTTTGTGAGAATGATGTGAAGCAGATTTCAGAAAGAGTATGGATGAAAAAAAAAAATGAGGAATGGGCATTTCAATCAGTGAAATGAATCTTGGTGTTAAGGATTGTGAAAGAGGAAGAGGCCTGGAATGTGACATGGTTTCCAAAGGCAGAAGTAGGGTGCTGCTGAAGTTGGACTATGTAGGGAAAGTCAAAAAGTGAGGTCAGGGTATGAGGTTCTGAACAATGGACAATCTCCTGAGTGGGCAAAGTCAGGGATGGAGAAGAAAATGCTGGATCCAGGGAGGGTCACATTCAGATGGAATCAAATGCACTTCAGAGACTGGTCTTTGGCATTCAGCATGACACTGAGGCCAAGGAGCCTGCCGGTAACTTTAGTTAGGACTGTTGATAGCAGAATTGGTCAAGGTGTTGACAAGTGTGGAACAGCTCACCAGTTGTCTGCCTGCAGAGTTTTAGTTCAGTGCACCTCCATTTTACTGGGTGGGGCAGTCATTTGTAGGACTTTGTCACTTAGACTGTTAAACCTTAACCATACACATCTGTTTTTTAATCCTCAGTGCCTACTGCTATGCCTGATGCTTGGCCAGTATTTAGTGGGAAGTTTTCCTGGATGGATGAAAGGGTTGGATGGACAGATGAGTTCAGGAAAGGATGAGTAGACTGGATAGGTGAATGGATGAATAGAATGAGAAGATTGATGGGATACTACATAGATCAAATGGCTGGGATGGTGTATATATCATAGATGGATGGATGGATGGACAGATGAGTGGATAGGGTAGATGAATGAATGGGATAGATGAATGGATGGACAGATAGAGGATGGATTGGTAGATGGATGAGATGGGATGGAATGGATTGACTGATGGATACATGGGTAGAAATTACCAGTAGCCCCATGTATCCATTTAGAACACTGAAGGAGAAATTATTTCCACAAAGGTCCCTTCAAAGAAGGAGGAAGGGCAGAGTGATGATTACTGCTCATTTCTTAGGGTGCTTGGGAGGTTTTGCTTGGTGTTGGGGAACAGAAGTGGGGGGTTACCTTTGATGATGAGTTATAGTGACTAATAGATGCTAACCCCCTTCACCTAAGCATGAAATAAATTTGTTCAATCTCTATTTCTAGACTCTTCATACTCTCTCTCCTGATCACTCCTCATGGACATTTGTCACCTCTCTGAACCCAGGCACCATTTGCATGTGGACCCACATCTCCCCCACGCGCCTGCAGCTCCACTTCCCACAAGTAGAATTCACCATCTCCACAGCAGTTCTGGTCTTTTCCAGGGTCCCTCTCTCAGGGCTTTGTGCCACTTTCCCCTGCCAGCTAAGGACTCAGCAGAATATTATGACGGGTTCTTTTATTTTCTATGTCTAACCCACCAACAACCCTTTTCCACTTTTTAGAACGCAAAGAACTCTTAAGGAGCTTCACCTTCTTCATTATGAAAGCTGCTGCTCAGATTTAGAGTAATGCAACACCCCTACATGTATGGCTGTTTTAGGCTCCCTTTAATCCTCTTTCCATCTCACAGCTCAGATTCTTTTTTAATTGATTAAATCTGATCATTGACAATTTAATCTACGTGCTTAGGCCATTCTGCTTATTCTCACCCCCACCTTTTTATCTCACCCTCACCTCTGTCATTCTTTTTATTTTGTTCATGATCCATTGATTTTGTTGTTGTTTTGAGACAGGGTTTCTCTGTGTAGTCTTGGCTGTCCTGGAGCTTGTTCTTGTAGACAGGACTGGCCTTGAATTCATAGATCTGCCTGCCTCTGCCTCCTGAGTGCTGAGATCAAAGGCATGAGTCATGACCACTTAGATTGTGACCCATTGATTTTAACCAGGACTGTCTGTGTGGCCATGGGTTTAGAGTTATTCCCTGGAGCCTGGCGGGCTCACCATTTGATGTACAACTGAATCCATTAGTTGCCATTAGTTTGTGAGGGACAGCTTCAGGAAGATGATCTTTTTAAGAATGAGATCAAATGACGTCATTTGCCAGCCAAGTCGACTCCAATGATTTATGACACTTTTAACCTGAAACACAATTCACAAGGCTCAGTACAGTCTGGTTCCCCTACCCTAACCCATTCTGCACACTGTTCCTTCATCATCCCTGGAGGCTAACCACAGTGGGTGTCTCTCTGATTCTTTGGCAGGTATCATGCTGCCCTCACTCCACCACTCAAAGCGTTTCACATCCACTTCCTCCCCCATTTCACGTGAGTAGCCCTATGCCTCCTGCTCTAGCTCAGACATGATTTCCAGGGAGACACTGAAGAGATATCTCCAGCAAGGTGAACTCACCCCCCTCCCCCTTGTCATGTTTGCAAGTAAAAATGCAGCCGCTGCCTATAGAGCATGCCTGTCCACTTGTGCCTGTGTGGTTGTTTCCCTTGGGTTGGCCTCCATCATACTCAGCCCTGGGACCAGCAAGGCTGCCCTGTGCTTCTGCTAAGAGCAGTGCGTGGCACAGCAAGTATGCCATAAATATTTGTCAGATGAGTGAGTGAGGACTCTGAAGAACACCCTTTGTGTCTTATTAGCTGAAGTCAGAGCAATAAAGTCCTGTTCCTCTGGTCTAGCCACCAGGACTTGGGTAGAGTGTGATCACAGGAAACTCCAAGACAATGCTATCTATGATCATCTAATCATAAGTTAAAGCAAAATTCTGGGGTTTTATCCTTCCTCTCCATGATCATTTAATCAGGAGTTTTGTTATAATGTGGCTTCTTTGGACTGAACTGTACAATTTACCTGCAACTTAGGTGTTTCGTCCTGCCGCTGGGCTCTTCTAAGCTGCTTCCCTCAAGTCCTCTCCTCTCTCCTACCAGCCTGCCTTCTCAGCTGGAAATGACTGAGGGCTTCCTGCAAAGGTAGGGGAAGGTCCCAAAGAAGAATGGAACTGGGCTTGGCTGCTCTGTGTGTTTGTGTGTGTGTGTGTGTGGGGGGGGGTGAGTGAGCATGGGTTGGGTCCGAATTCAGAGGACGGCCTGGGGAAATTTAGAGGCTACTGCTGAATTCCATCTTCTCAGACAAACCAGCTTTGGAAGTTGGAGCTTGCTTATTGGGCTGGACAAGAAGTTATTAACAAATGTTGCCAGCAAGGACGTTAATTCATCAAATTTAAACTCGTTCGTTACCCCTTTCTTTTTTAATTGGATGCATTGACTAGCCAGGGGGCTAGAATTTCAGCTTTCTTCTGGGTATTGCTGCTTTCTCTGTCTTTCTGATTCCTGAATCCTAAACCGTGCCTAGTACATAGGGAGACCAATTCAGTGAACAAGAGGATTCCCCATCTTGTCCCCTAAGACTTTTTTTTTTTTTTTCTATTCTTCTTAAGACAGGGTTTCTTTGTGTAGCCCTGGCTGTCCTGGAACTCCTGTAGAGTAGATCCCTCTGGCCTTGAACTCGAGATCTCCCTGCCTCTACTTCCCAGTGCTGTGACTAAAGGCGTGGAGCACCACCCTCTGTTGTCCCAGAAACTCACATTTTGAAGCCTTTCAACTGCTCTCCCCTCCCTATGTTAATTTATCTAGAGTAGCTCTTGGCTTTCTTTAGAGTAGACACGTGAAATCCCTGAGGCACTACTAGAAGGAAGTAAGGGCATGGATCTTTCTCCCACACACTGTCCAGTTTGAATAAAAACCTTGGGTAGAGAGTGTTCACAGTGAAGGTATCCATACCTGATTTGACAATTGTAAATTACACCGAACCGCCCACTTCCGAATGGGAGAAAACAAATCATCAGAAGGCTGATATTGTGTAACATGTAAATCTCTTCTGGACCAAGGCCCATCTCTGTGGTTTGGCAACACCACCAACACAGCCTCTTTTTTTCTCATCTGGGGAAAAAAAAAGCCAAGAACGAAAAAGTAGCCAGAGAACAGAGAATAAAGGTAATGATTAATCTATCAGGTACAAAAAGATCATTTTGAGAATTTGGGACTATAATTCACGAATTTAAACAAGTAGCAGTGAGCAGGAACTGCCAGCCTGAGAGGACAAGGATTAAGTCACAGGATTAAGTCACAGCTCCTAATCAGGACAGCCTCTGCAGTCAAGTATCTCCCAGTCACCTCCAGGAATCGTGAGGAGCTAATTGTTCATCTTTTTTTTTTTTTTTTTTTTTTTAATGTGGCAGTGAAGACAAGGAGCAGAGCAAGCACGCCTTGGCGAAAAGCACGCCTCTGGCAGAAGCCCCAAAATGCCTTCTGAGAAGGAAGGGTCCAAGAGCCTCATGCAGAGGCTGGCCCTGAAGAGCAGGATAGCGAAGGAGACAATCTCTGAGTTCCTGGGCACCTTTATAATGATTGTGAGTATTTCCTGATTTCCCCAGTCCTGACCTAGCAACGCCTTCCTGGCTGCCAAGCCACCGGAGCAGGCATTTGTTTTCCTTGATTATCAGATCCAGTCTCTTGCAGGAAGCAGCGAGTTACTACTTTCTAGGTTGCTTGGCTATTTGGTGACCATACCATGAGAATTTCATTTACTCTTAATGCTTATCCAAGGTAGCTGATGGGAGTGGGGAATGGGGGAATGGGGGAAGTGGAGTATTCCCTTCATTTTAGTGTCTAAAATGGCTTATGGGAGAAACTTCTTCACGTTGAAGAAGTGATCTGTGTGCCCTGTTTGGTTCCCATCCAGTGACTGAGTAAATATGCTATCCATGTTTATTAAGCAGGAATGCTCAATAAATATGGATAGCACAAAGCAGGCTGGCAAGAAAGTGTTGTCAGATCACTTGACTTAAACACGCACACATTCATAAATAAATAAAAAGTGTGTGTGTGTGTGTGTATGTGAAGACAACTTGCTGGGCTCAGCTCTCTTTCCACCCTGTGGGTTCCAGGGATAGAACTCAGATCATTAGACCTGGTGGTGGCTGTTTTTATCTACTGAGCCATCTCACCAGCCCCACTTAACTTTTAATAAATAGAACTTAATGTGGAGTTGCTGTGGTGTGTGTATAGTTCTGTGTTGCTTTCATATCTTTTGGTTTAACTTGGCTTCAGCAAATCTCTTAAGATCTTTAAATAAACAGTTACAAGAACTTTATAGATATTACCAAGGTCCGGGTCTAAGACTCTCTGAAGGAGATTTGCTCAGCTGTTAAAAAAAAAAAAAAAAACAGACCAGAAACTATTGCTAGTTACTGAAGTAGTGCGAGCCCTGGCCCCAGGCTCTTACTGTATCCTAAGTTCTACCATTCTTTGGACCTTAACTTCTTAGCTAGAGTTGGACCATTTGTAAAGAGAAAATTATCGTCATGGGGACAACTATTAATTTTGATTTAACTTTTTAAAACACATACACATAGCCCTACTTCAAGCATAATTTCAATTTCTAAAGATTCTAGAAAATTGTCCTTGAGTTGTACGTGTTAGAAAGTTCTTGGCTTTGGATCCTTGAGAAGGAAAGGGGTTGAATGTGTTGCCTAAGTAGAGACTGGGAAAGGTAAAAGACGGTCTTTGTCTCCTCACTTTTCACAGTCAAACTCAGGACTGGACTTAGGTCAGGGCAGTTAGAAGGAAAAGAGAGAACCCTTTCCTCTGCTCCTAGTCATCTCTTTCTGGAAAATTGCCCTCAGCTAGATATGAAGATGCATAGTTCTTTTTTTGTTTTGTTTTGTTTGTTTTTGTTGTTGTTGTTGTTTGGAGACAGGACTTCTCTGAGCTCACAGAGATCCGAGATCCGCCTGTCTCTGTTTCCCGGAGCACTGAGATCAAAGGCGTGTGTCAGCGCCGCCTGGCTTTTTTTTTTTTTTTTTTTTATAGCTCCAATTTACCTAGAACTCACTATGTAGGTGAGGCTGGCTTCAAGCTCAAAGAGATCTGCCTGTTTCTGCTTCCAGAGTGTGGGGTTAAAGGCATGCACTCCCACACCCATCTTGGGTCATGATATTTGAAAGTCTGACCCCCCCCAAAAAAATCTTTTTACCAGAGGCTGACTTCAGCCTACAATGACTTATGCAGAAAAATGAAGCAAAGCCTATATCAGCTCTTAATGCAGAAAACAAGGAGGAAGTGAGCTCAACTTCCTTTTTCTGAAACTGAGAAACATTTTAAACCCTTCCTTTTTTCTTAAGAATCTGTTTCATAATTCCATTACACACTGAGAAGATAAAAGTTGCTTACAGCCATTCAGCCTTGAGATCATGAAGCCATGCACCACCTTTTCCTATGTTAATATCATCCTGCTGCCTTCCCCAAGGCCAGAAATTCTTAAACCTCCCCCCCCCCTCCCGCCCTTTTCAAGCTGGTCATAAAAGAATTCCCCGAAACTATCTCATATGATAATAGATCATAAGACCCTCATTTCAGAATAAGTCAGCTTCAGGTCTCGGAAAAGAAATGACACTGCAGAGCAGGTCGGAGAAATCTGAACAGACCAGCCTTGCTGGCTTCCCACTCAGTGACTTTTATTAATTTGTTTGTTGGTGCTTGGAATCAACCCCAAGGCCTTGAACATGATATTTGTACACTCCTTCCCTGAGCTCTGCCTCCCAGTCCTAACCTAGTTATACAGCCTTAGACAATGGTTTGACTACTTTTTCATCCCGCCCTCCATGCTCCAGGCTTGTTTTCTATGTAGTAAAGCCCCTATCAAAAGGAGAAAAGATAACCAAGCAGTTGGCAGTTCCTGCAGGGAGGGTGTGGAAGCTGCCTCCCTCCTCTTATTCCTTAATTTTCTCTTCTTCTGTAGTCCTCACAGAATCTTTATTTTAAAAAAAAAACCTGTAAACTCAGGGTTCCCCAGAGTTCTGTGAGACCCACAAGGCAAAGAGTGGCACCCAAGGAGGGAGTTGTGGAACCTCAAAGTAGAATCTATTAGAAACACAGTTCAGACAACCTGGAGTTTAGCCATGGTGTCTGCAGTGCAGGGAAGGCCGCTCTTGAGGCCTGAGCCCGCGCCTGGTAGGATCCTGATGTTATCTCCAGGTGGACAGGGTCAGTGTTGAGTTAGAGGGTACCTCATTGATGTCCACTGCAAACTGGAGTCTTTGATTACTGACAGGGAGCAACCCCACGCACGGCTTTTGTGGTCACGGTGTTCTTCTGTGTTGACTTCTATGGCATGAGAACAGTTTCGCCCACACAGACCATTATTCCAGGCAGAAGCTGTACACAGAATATCTGAATGCTGCATGATAGAAACTGAACTTTATTCTGGACATAGGTGATTCTGTCATGATGATAAATTCCAATTTACATCATGTAGTTATTTGCTAAAGTAAAGCTTAATATAATCTAGAACTTTGGGTGTCATATTCTGTTCTGTGTATGCCTGAAAGAACCTGGCAAATCAGAAGTGTAATTTCTTTTTAAAACAAATCCCCATACAGTTGGCTCCCTAGGGAGGGGATCAGCCTCACCCATATTCTGTCCAGTACCCTTCCCAAGTTGCTAAGCTCCCAGCAAGTGGCAGCCCCATGGTAGGGGAGCGCAGTGAGTTAGCTTCCTAAACTACAGACTCACATGCTGCCTATTCCCTTCACTGACTTGCTAAAGTCAGACACCCCTTCTTCTCAGGTAAGATAGCCCTCTCCTCTAAAGTCTACATGTGTAAGACTGGGATCTCCAGTCCCAGCTTCCCTAATTAGTGGCGGGTGTTAGTTATCAGGAGATACTTCACTGAAATCCATCTCAGCTCATTTCTCTATCCAACTTCTTAGTATTTGAAACACGTAGTTCTGCTTAAGGTCAACCCAATACATTATTCCTGATCAACTCACAAATGCAAATCTCGCCTGGCCTTTGTCTAGTAAAAATTTGTCCATTTACAAGGCCTGAAAGGAAGACACTGGAAAGATGGCAGGGGCTGGGCAGCGCCACTCCATCCTCCCCAGATCCCAGGAATCTAAAGCCACCTCGGAATCTGCTTTTTGAGCAGTTCTTCCCAAACTCACTCACACCATGACTGAAATGGCCAAGGAGGCCTGATGGTAGCCTTTAGGAAAAAAAAGTTTCATGAAAAAAATTCTTTGTCAACTGTGGTTCAAAACAAAAATAAGCAAGTCATAAGCTAAAGAATGAGCTGGAATTTGACCTGATAGACACTGGGACCTTATAGGGTTAGGCTTTTTATCCTTACTAGCATTAGGGAAAAGTTGGCAAGGCGTCTGCCCTCTCTTTTGCAGAGGGAAGGTTTAGGCATTTTGAGCTGAAGAGAAGGGAGCCTGTGGCAAGTTCCCAACACCTGTCAGACAGTTAATTACCAAGATAGCCATATTCATTATTGATACAAGTTAATAGTTTTATCAATAATAACAGGTTGCAACTGACAGCTTCTTTATCATCATTCATAAACAGTTGAAGGAAAGGGAAGGGGGGAGCCTCAGAGAGAGAAATGCTCACACCTGAAAGGCATTAAAATGAATTTCTTTCTAATTCTAGATCTTATGCCTGCCATTTCACTTCTTAATCCAAGGCGGGAGTCCCTTGGGGAAACTATGGTAGATAAGGAGTAGGTCCTCTACCCCTACCCTCACCCTGCCCTCATAACACAGCTGCTTCAGCATTTCCATAGATAGAAGCCATGAGCTCGTGGCCATAGGAATCGAATGATGAACGGATGGCTGAGGATACTCAGCAGGGCACCCAGGACCTAGGGTCTTCACCTCTCTTGGACCAAAAAGACTGTTTATGGACATACATGAAGGTATGAGGGAGCCCTAAGACTGGAATTACTTGCACCTGAGCTTGTTTGTATGGGACCAGCAAACTGCAGACGTTGTGTTAGCCCTAAGCTTCCCAGGGGAGCAAGCACTGCCCAGCTGCCCTGGGCTGCAGCACTCAGCTGTATTATGGTTTTCAACCATGAGTTTAGTCTCCTTGAGTCTCCGTTCCTTCAAAAAGGAGCCAATGTACCACAGAAGTAAGAATTGATCACACGTGACTCATAAAGGCCCTGGCATCAGAAATGGTTGTAGATTTCTGTATCCTCCTGGGCATCTTGAGGTGGCTTTCCTCTGCATCTTCCACAACGCTCTTCACAAACAGAAATGGGACCCACATAAAATGAAAGTCTCTTCCTCTACTGAAATTCCTAGGACCTGTCATGATTTTGTGTGATTTCTCTTAGAGGCCGTGTTTGCCTTTTGTTGTTCTGTGTGCTTGCCTCTCTTTCCATGCTTTCTAGGATTCTCTGATACAAAGTTCCTCTTACCCTCGATGCTGAGGAGAATGTTCCAGAAAGCATCCTCCTCAGGAAGGAGCATCCTCCTGAGGTGGGGACTATGGACAGTGAGAAAGACCCTCAATTCTCTTCTTCTGCCAAAGTTTCTTCCATATTAGAGACATATCTTTTGGCATC